ACACAGAGATTTGCGCTTCACATCTAAAGCTTAATAATTAGAGCAGCTTACTTGTATGCACACCGTGCGCACTGATTTCAATGCACGTTCTTTCCGACTTTGTTTTGTTACAAAAGATTTATTTGCTATACTTCTCCTGTTCAATCAATAACTTATCCAACACAGATGTTCTTGACGTGGTTCGTGAGAAGTTCCTATGTGTACTCAATAATTTGCTCAAAAATGTTCTTTCTTAGATTTGTTTTGCGATTTGATTTATTTGGGATACCTGGAGTTCGAAAGGACATAATTGGCGACTTTACTGAGATATTAGGTTCGCTCATGAAAAATTCACAGTTAGCAGGTAGAATAGGCAGAAGTATGGAAGCGTCCGGCCAGTTCTTCGCCTTCATTTGTTAGCTGTTGAGTAGATGTTACTTAGATTTTCCAACAACGTTTTTAAAATTTATGAGTTCTTACGTTTCCTATGTGCTCCGGACATTGTGAAACGTAGTAGTTTTACTTGTTCGCGCTTTTATCGCCAGAGTTTTTTACTCGCAAATTAAAAAAGAATGTTCATTTTCATTTCTTTTTAGGACTCTGTTTGGACGTTTCCTGTCTTGTTAAATGAGCTGATTTACGATTACTGGACGACTATTTTCCATTATTCAACTCATCGGTTCAGACAAAATTAAACGGCTCCGTTGATGTCGTTAAGACTCGTAGGTGGGTTTTTAGCTAGGAATTTCATCTATCCTAAAAGTGGCCTATTCATATTCCCATATTTTTAGGCGTTAAGGCCAGTTCAGTGCTGACAGGTCTCGTCTTATCATGCTTTCTTAGCTGTGCACTTTGTTTCGACAACGAACACAATCTCACAGTTGATCGAAGCGATGTTGTGATTGAATTAAACGAAACTACAGAAGTCACTTATCAGTCAAGGTAACCGATAGTCAGTCTTAAATTACTAGATTCATTTCCTAGATTGTTAACCGTTAAAACTGTTAAGCTCTTCTTAGTTATTTCTTAAAGATTTTATGGTTGAATGGACTCACGCTTATTCGCCAATGTCTTTAGTAAGTATCGGTGTCCAAAAAATGAAGTGAACATTTTCCACCACTCATCTAGTATAATGACGATACGTAGTAGAGCGCACATCTTCCTTGTAGGTCTGGTCCAAGGTAACGAAACTCCCAGAGGTAAACTTTGTAGTCTTCGTCGCCCACTGCAATGGCATTCTTCAAAACAGTGATGCCACCTGTAAAACGTAGGATGAAAAACACACTCCAGTCGGGATGATTTGTCATGTGAAGGTTATCTACCCCATCCAGTATCGATTAATGGTGTCCTTCCAATACTTTTTGCTTTAACGTCATAACCAACAAAGATGGAAGTCGAATGATAAAGCAAAACAAGAACACGAAATTAAAAAAGACAAAAACGAGAACACAAAACGGCTGGGAGAAACGCAACGCAGGGATCCACGGTTGGTGTGGTGAACAGCATGCAAGCCCCCCTGGGAAAAGTAATCACGAGTTCGAAACCCAACTGAGATTCCGGGTTTTGCTCATATGTCAGCATTATTATTGCTGTTATATTTCACATCATACTGTCATGAAAGAAGGAATAGGTGAATAAGGATTTAAAGGATAGGAGTATTCATTGTAGAATTGATGACTTTTTTCATACGTGGTCGTTCTTTTTCGATTACACATCTCAGGTATTAAGTCTCTGAGATTACTATGTGATTATACTTTTCTCAGAGCGCGTGTTGCGCAGTAGTCGGAGGCACCCTGCAATGCACATGAGATCGATCCCGGCGCGCTAAGCTCACCAAGCTCTCCATCCCTCCGGGATCGGCAAATTGGTCTCAGACTTCTCTGGGAGAATAGCAGCACTGGCTCGGTACATCGGTAGGCCACCGCGTGTCATTGTATGGCCTAATTATACATTTAGTCACATCCAACGATGCTTAGTGAAGTCGAATGCATGGCGCATTCCTAAGTGGTAGATAAACGCCTATAGCTCTATCCTTGTCTTTTTACACTTTTCTCCCTTTATTCTGACATTGTATACTGTCTTATTTTTAGAGTTCCACTTACTTCTGATGTACATTTGTATTTTAATCATTCTGAATATTACGACATAACGAACGTCGTAAAATTGGTGAAGTCTACAGGACGAGGTTCCCTACAGATTACTGGCCGTAGACCAGTAAGCCAGTCCTACATCGACGTTGTGAATTGCACCACAGTTGATGTCTTGTCTTCTAAATGCCCCATAAGGTAAGGTCTTGAGGTCATTATGCATGTTGGTTATGTAGTCATTTATGTACTTCTTAGTTAAAAGGTACCACTTATTCCCAGTCTTGTTCTTGGTTCTGTAATGTTCTATTTTGTGTTATTTCCATATTTCACTACTTGGATACTGACGAATAACAAAAACGGCAATATTTGAGTGCATATATACGCATATACGCTTTACACTTGAACGGCCCGCCCTCACTGGTTGTGCGAGCGAAGGCATAATTTCCATTTTTCGGAGATTTCCTGGTCAAGCCATTGTGGTTTCCTGGAATCCCGAGGTCAGCCTGGCCAAAGTCTACTCCAGGACTTCACCACCACACACATTGCAGCCCTTGTGGATCAGAGGGAGATTTGCCACCGTGCGACTTTGATACCACGACGATGGTATCCTGGTATTGGTTTACTCTTAGCCACGCTTCCTGATGGAAAGGTCGGACTTCTTCTCGGCTTGGGAGGCCCTGCCGGAGAGACGAATCCCCCCGCTGTACATCGCAGCCCGACAACTAGGAACACATCCCAGCCACCACGATGAGGCGGGAAACCGTTGAGGGGATATACGTATATATATATATATATATATATATATATATCCCCTCAACGNCTTTAAAATTCAAGGTTACAAGTGTATTGGACACAATAAAGTTGAAAAAGCTCAATATATATATATATATATATATATATATATATATATATATATATATATATATATACGTACATATATATATATATATTGAGCTTTTTCAACTTTATTGTGTCCAATACACTTGTAACCTTGAATTTTAAAGAAACATGATATCTCATCGAGGGTTTTATTTCAGTAAATGGTTCTCATTTAAATAGCTGACATCAGCACGAAAACTATTGTACATCATAACTGAGGAATTTTGTTAAAAGTGTGTATTTTTTAAATCGCTTGAATTTTGCAGTGTGGCGATTTTGCTAGAGTAGAAAGCGGTTCTAATGTGCAAACGATGTGAACTCACTGGAGGAAGTGTAGACTAAATTCTTTGCAGAAAATTGCTAACCGATGTTGCACCTATAATTCCCAAGACCGGCTTTCTATTAACCTCTACGTTGATCAATAATTCTCCACTTTCTTGATAAGCGCAAGAGGCGTTCCTACTATATCGTTTATTCTCAAAAGCTGGCGTTTCGGAGGATTTCGCTTTCTCCAGAGACAGGCAAGATCAACTTGATTGCAATCCACTCAGCCGAACACCTCCATAAGTCCAGGGAAAGGTTACGAAACCTGGATATCAATCCCACTGAAAACAAAATAGCTTTTCCACACACTCACCGCTCTCTACGGAGAGACCAACCGAATAGAACTCACATGGTTGGGCAGTGAGCTCCTCTCACGGTAAAATACGAGTGTGAGATATTGTGCGAGATCTGGCACCATAATGAGATATTCCTCCATGCAGTTCAGTTTTCGTTTCCTGGGATTTATCCAAGATGCTTTGAGGGTTTTTACGGGCTGATGTTTTAGATTCCTGTGCGAAGATGGTGGCCTCTACTTCAAAATCTTCCCCGTTGTGTCTCTGTGTCCTCTACACGCTAATGGAATATTTGGTTTAGCTTTGCGCTTACCGTCTAGGTGTTGTTTTACACGCTTTTACACGTAGATACAATGATGTGATGTACCCATTTCATCAATGTGTTTCTTCCCGTACGCTTTAAAAGCGATCAGATAAACCGTACCCGAACTCATGTAATCACTTTCTCTACCCTTAGGGCAAATTATGCAATTTTGCCTTGTACGTGGACGGTCATAGAAACGACTACAAACTACCTGGGAGTACTTGGTGGTAAATCGATCACTGCTACTGATTTCTCTGGAGTTGCCCCTTTTTAAGGTTTTGTGGCTGTGCGTATTACGTCAGAAATGAAGGGTAGGAAAAACAGGGTGCAATTCTCGCTAGGCAAATCGTTTTGGAACGTATTGTCTATCTGAATTTATCGGGTGGAGTCGCCGTTTCGTATCCATTAGAAATGGCTATCTTCCGCAACAATTTCAAGGATTCTTCGTCATGCGCTGTTCTTCTGTACACACTGGTGAGTGTTATAAGCGTTTTTGGCGAACACACTTTTTTGTATGACGGAAGAGAGGAGATGTAACGAACCAGTTTTTTTGTGAATTAGCTTTTGGTAACACTTCGCGATGTAGCCATTTTCGGATACATTGATTTGGATATTCAAAATTGTAAGCCAGTCTTCTATCCGTTTCTTCCCAGTAAACTTCTTATACTGTGACTATTCGTTCAACAACTTCAAGCATTTCTGCGCTTCCTCTTATGTGGTGGAGGTGACAAAATAATCCTCTATAGAAAGGAAAATTCGTCACAGAAATCCAAATCATCGTTCGAAAATGAACCGCAGGGAGGAATGTCTCATTATCACACGTGTTCTCACACAATAACTCAGACAGATAATGTGAGAAGGGCCCATTTCCCATCAATGTTAACTCTATACGGTCGGTTGGTCTGCCTATCATACTGAAATCTAGGTTTCGTGATTTTTCTGTTAGGGATACGGAGGAATTGAGCTGGCTAGTTTGCAGTCAACTTGACTCTTCGAGGCTCTGAAAGAGGGGAGGTCTGCACAAACGTCAGCTTTTGTGAATAAATACTAAATAGTAACAACTACCCTACGCGCCGCAAGCCCACCAAGCCTTCCACCTTTCCAGGGTCGGCAAATTGGTACTAGACTGTTTGGATGATAGCAGCGCTGGCTCGATACATCAGTAGGCCACCGCGGGTCATTGTAAAGGCCAGATATGCGTCCACTTACCTCCAAGGGTGTTTAATAAAGTCGTGCATTCTGCATCCCTCAGGTGTTGATAAACGCCAAGAGCTTCATCCTTTTTATTATTCTCGTGCAGGAATCCAAAACATCAGCTATCGTTTTCTAACAACCTCATGTGTGCTTATATGGATAACTGTGACCATAGTTTAACGTTTTGTTTTCTGCCTTCTATAATTTTCATGGCAGGTTACTAAGCGAAATACAACCACAACGTTGCTGAGATATTCCCCGGAAAGGATAATAGCGCGTTCGTTCTCCACCATAGACACCTGCGGTCCAGAGTTTTGCAAATATCTCAGCAACGTTGTGGTTGTGACCATAGTTGTTTCAGCTTCAAAGACGTCTTTGTTCGAGTCACTGTCATCAAGTCACATTTCATAGACGGCCTAACAATAGCTGTTGGATGGATATATTTTTCTGCATGGAGCCTATCATTTTATCCGCAGATATATCTGAACTTCAGAAGAAAAAGGTGGGACATTCTGCATTACCAAACTGTAACTTCTGATCCGGCTGTTTATATCAGGGTTTCACTTCATTTAAACGAATATATTAAATTTCAGCGTAACGGGTCTGAACTTCGACTTCTTATTGTTGAATATTATTGGTTTTTCATTCTACAGTTTATATAACTTATTTATGTATTACGACTCGTACGTTCAAGTAAGTTCTCTACGTAACAGTCAAGCATTTCGCACCACACAAATAGCACTTTGAGCCATTTTAAGGTCTGGATTTTCTTTTTCATCGTATGTTTAAGGCAGAGTATGTGAGGGAACATCCTCGAAGTCCGATTCCTGTTTTGATGAACGATGTGATCTTTGCACTTCATGCTCTTACAGCCTGCGTCATAACTGCAACACAGTGTCTCTTCTATGAGGTTTAACCTATTTCACCATTCGTTCTATTGCGTCATTCTTTTACCATAATTCAACCATAGTAGTCCTAGTCTACATTCCAGAGAGAAAATCAGAGTGTGTCTGTGATCTGCAAAGTGCTGTCTTCAGTCCTTGTTTTATTCGCTGCTTTCTCTGCGCTGGCATCTTTGTTTAAGTTCATAAGCATTCTTCAACTTATCATGTGTTTTTCGTATGTAAAAATGGTCGTCACTCTTTCAAAATACTTCCCACAGGTTTGCCATCTGACGCTTCAACTTTACTTATATCTTTTTTCCTGAAAAATTGCTGAACATATACTGTCACTTATGTCGTATTCACAATTAATTAATACATCTTTATATTTATCTTATTTTATCCGGATCACCAGTTTATCAGTAAGACCGGATCATGTTGCCAAGAACGGGTTTTAGAACCACTAGCCGTGTACATCAACCAGGCTATATTTAGGTTTGATGGATTCATTCCTAAATCGAAATGGACTAATCTAATCAAAGTTCTTGATAGGTAAAACTAACATTAACTGATAACCCTAACTCCTGAAGCTTAGCGTAAGCAGAGAAGTTGAACAAGTTACCATTTGCACTGAACTGATTAATCTGTATTACACAGTGGCAAACTCCTTATCTAACAGTGGCTACATTTTTTTCTGAATATTCGCAACTATGGCGTTGGACGTGGGTTAATGAAAACATTTTTAAGATGTGCTTCAATTTTCGACGGAAAAGCACAGTTGGTTGGTCTATCGGGAACGTACTACTCGACTTTACTGGTGGTTCGATGGACATTCTACAAATGATGCTCCAATGTGTGAACGTCAGCAACTGGGTTGCATTCTATGGTAATCCTGTAAAATTCGGTTTAGGCCTTGTATCAATTCTTTTTGATATAATCTTCATTATTCAACACTATGTTTTGTATAGGGGAGTAGAAGTTGTCCACGCAGAATATGTAGGAGTAGAGAATTCCGAAGCACCCCAAAATTCATCCCAAACAATTCATTGGATTATAACTTCAGATGAGCCCATATTAGAGGATGTTTCCATCTGAATAATGATCTATCTGTATGACTATTTCAACGGTGGTATGTCCTGTAACTTTGCAAATAAATGATTACATAATTTTAGACGATTATATTACATTGCAAGGATTGTTTTATGGGGAATATCACAGCTTTGCAACCAAAATTCACTCAAGCAGCATACAGAAATCCGAAAAAAAACCAAAGCTATCCACATTGTTCACATTTCTCTAGAATGGCCTCTTTGAACAGCGACAGAAACGACGGTAAGGATAAAGAATCCTAAACTTTAACTATAATTGCACACAAATTTCACGTACTTTTTCAAAATGTCACTAGTACAATTTCTTTTTAACTGCTTACTTCATCAGCTTTCGACCACGCTAAGGCTGGTATTTGTCTCACGGAACGCCCACTAATGCCCTTCGCAAGTTTGGCTAATTCCATAATTTCTTGGCCAATAGGATTTGTTGAATCGTTTTCAAGATCTCTGATGGATGGAATCCGCTCGTTCGGGACAATGATACCAATCTATAAATTTGGGATTTTCGATGATAGAAAGAGGAATACATTTCTATGCAGTGTAGTTTCACCCTAATGAGCTCTTCTGCACATTTAGCAAGAATAGTATATAAAGCGTTCACTGATGGTTGTCCAACATGCTTGACAAGATCAGCACGGTCTAGTAAAGCTCGGTCCAAGCACCCTTCTAGGTTCGATGTGCACAGAACAATGACATTCGGTCGGCTAAAGATATGATTGAATAATACAACAAGTCAATTCTCAGCAAATAAAGTGACCGAAACAAATACGAAGAAAAGCCTTCGACTGGCGTAGTGGATAACACGTGGGCCCCCTGTAAAGGGTAATTTCGGGCTCACCTACCTGAGGTTAGGAGTTTTGCTCGTATCTCAGCATCACTATGGTTGTATTTCAAATAACACCCTACCATGAAAAAAAGACTAGGAAGTAAATAAAAGTTGAACAAATGCAAATGGAGAAGAAAAGTCACCGTCGAATTCTATCAATTTGCGTGAGTAATGCATTTACTGCACGAATAGAATCTGCTGGGTCTCCTCGGTTCGTGGAAGCATCACGTGCCATACCAAGTGATTCGACCTATAGTTACTGATGAATAATAGGTAATCATTACAAATGATAGTCGATTACCTCATCAATCAGGACAAACACCATACATTTTTCATCCTCAGCTAACTCGTCAATCTGATCGAACATTTTCAACACCAATTTACCACTCTAAAGTTCTTTATACGCAACTCTATGAAGTATAAAACTGTAAATCATAAGAAACGTTCGCAAAAACACCTCTGAGAACCACTTGGAAAACAAGCTGTGGCTATTGATCTCCACCATGACAGAAGCAGAAAAACGCGAATTTAAACGAATTGATAAATGCTGTGAAATTCCACGACAGAGCGTAGTCTTGCCACTTCCAGGAGGCCCTACGTTACAGATTTTCCAAAAAAAAAACGAGAAAAGTTTGCATCCTATCACAAACCAAGGAGAATGATCAGACGGTTGACATTTATTATTTTCATATCTGCTCCCTTGTCCGATAGTTTGATCAGTGTGAGTACGTAGGATAAAATCTGAAGTATAACCATTAGTGTTTTTCAGTAACTAGAACAAATGTCGCAAAATGTTACCTCATTCTTCAGATTAGAGTCGTAGACCAAGTTCTCCCACATATTCTCAAATTCAATGCAAGGAAGTTGCCACAGAAGCGAACCGATAGAACATTCATCGGAACTTCCGTCAACTAATGATGAATGTTAATAGCTTCCATGCTCTCGTTAGAAAAATTTACCAGACAGAAGGATTATCGGCTTTCACTATATTCTGTTGTGAAGTATTGCTAATTAGAATGAAACCACCTTACCGCCAATAGGCGTCCTATTGTGAAACGATTCAAAGTTCAAAAGCTGGGTACATTTCCGCGATAAGATTACCTGAGGTTAATGGACAATTTCTACTTGGCTAACGTTTCAGCAACTTCGTCTTCCTTAGAGCAACTGTGGACCATCGACTTGGGGCATCGGCTCTGATGAAGGTAAAGATGTCGAAACATTAGCCGGATAAAAATTGTCTACCAGCCTCGTGTAAGTTTATCACAGAAATAATATATGTTCACTAGTCATACCGAGGTTAAAGGAAAGTCGGCCTTGAAATATTGTTATGCTCAAGATCTGCATTGAGTAACTATTAAATTTTCAGACAAAAACTTATTTTCAAACGTCGTTTAAGTGCACCGATCAAAGTTTGGCATATTTTTGAAAAAAGAAACAAACCTGAGAGGCTCTGAGACATAGCACCGTCGCTATTGAGACGATAGAAATGAACATTTTGTTCAGTGAGCTTTAATTCCTCCAAAATATGATCAAGAGGAAAGGCATCGGAGAAATTTGTACACCCAACAACCACCCTGTTAATTATATCTGTAACGAATTTCACTTAGACTGTTGTAAAACTCATATGTAGTAGAATATAAAGAAATCAACGTTATGAAAAGAAACTAACGGTGAATCGAATCGTGATCTCCTGCATCCGGTAAGGATTCCAACACTAAAGGTACCCAGTTCCGCAAACTTCTCTGCCCTCGTATAAATGATTCCAATTCCGTTAATCTTCCTTGAACTTGCGACCTTGCACTAAATAATATGGAACGCTAGGTATTTGTTCTCCTATAGAAGGTCACCCTCCCAACAGCTTACCGCGTCATCGTGGTTGGTAGGTGATCCTAGGTGTCGGGCTGACATGTACAGCGGGAAGATTCATTCCCCAGCAGGGTCTCTTAGGCTGAGTCCGGGGTGTCCATCAGGAAGCCCAGTTAAGTGTAAACTAATACTAGAATCCACCACCGTCCTGCTATCGAACTAGTCGCTTGGGTGCAAATCTCCCTCTGATCCACAATGCGCCTAATGCACGCAGTGGTGGTGACGACCTGGGGCTGACTTTGGCCAGGCTGACCTCGGAACCCCAGAGAGCGACTAAACCAGCAGAATACCGAAAAATGGAAATTTCGCTGGGGCCCGCACAACTGGTGAGGACGGGCCATCCAAATATAGAAGGTCACTAGATGTTCATTTTCACCTAGAATTTTGGTGGGAAAGAAAAATGAACTTGGAACGTTGAATTCCGACCTTCATGCCCCAAAAAACCAACGGCATTGTTCAGGCGTCCAGACAGGTCCTCAACTTATGAAGTTAAAAAGGATTTCGTTCTTCCTATTCAGAGTTCCATTGGACTTTGTTTATGACAATTTACAACTAAACTTCAACTCACACTCCTTTTTTGATATGAACTTCAACATGAGGCTTGAACGGCTTGACACTTCTCTTCCCAAAGCACGCTGACGATCCAGCAATGATACATTTTTGAATAGAACTCGGTAATTCGTTTTCCTGATCAGGAATCATGAGGCTAAACACACTAACTAATATTACCACCTAAAACAATTGAATGCAGATCATAGACTAAATGTAAATGCAAAGAAAAAACTGAAAAACTACCAAAGCAGTAAAATGAAGACAAATGGGTAAGAAGGACAAACTGTACGAAGGACATTTCAAACAATTCATTTTCGCGCCCGCAAGAATAGAGCGCGTTAACTGCCAAGAAGCGATCAGGATGGAAGGGGGCTACGTAATTATTACTCGCCTGGATACTCTGATGGACCTTCTTCACTGGTTGTACGGGCCGCAGTATAGGTTTCATTTTTTTGAGTTGTTCTGGTTTAGCTATTGTGGCTACCTGCAGTCCTGAAGTTAGCCAGACCAAAGTCCCAGATCGTCGCCACCACAGGCAGTCGCCGCCGCCCTTGTAGATCAGAAGGGGATTTGCCACCATGCGACTTTGATACCAGGGCGGTAGTGGATCCTGGTATTGATTTACTTTTAGTTAGGCTTCCTGATGAAAACGCCGGACTCCTTCTCAGCTTGGGAGATCCTGCCGGAGGGACGAATCTCCCCGCTGTACGTCGCATTTTCATTTTGATTTTGACGTCGCATTTTTGACGCTTTTCAGACGTTCTTCTTGGTCTAATCTTGGCGTTGAAATCTCCAATAATGACCTTGAAGAATGTATGGTCTTCTCATTAGAACTTCTCCAAGTTCATATAGAACGCTTGGACTTCTTCGTCCTAGTTTGATGTCTGGACGTAAGCGACTAAGTTTGTCAAGGCCACTATTGATCCACGTCTTTTTAATCGTAAACGTTCGATTCAGCGATCTACATTACGCCGATCTACACGCTCTTCTTGAAGACGCTGGTCACATTCCATGTGATCGCCCTACAAATGACGAAAAGCAGGAGGGCCGACTCACGCCAATTAAATGAAGGGACGGTTATCATCATCATATCGAAGAAATTTCTGTTACTAAATGTCGGAGGCGTTGCCTACTCCATACACCTATCTATTTCACATCTGATAATCTCATACAAAGTCCTATCACCTTACTTACACTATTTTTCGTTTTCAGTTTCCACATCGAAGGAGGGTCAATACCACCAACTACCACTCACCGATTTGCACAGCTTATGAGAGTTAAGTGGCCGCATTCTACAGCCAGATAGAGGAAGGAAGCCACAAGAAAAAGTCCTTCTATGAATTCATTGTTGGAGAATTGCGAGAATAGGAAAGAATGACGAAGTTGAGGACAGTATAGGAAAATTCAGAATTGGAGATCGAAATTAGAATGGGAACCGTCTTCTAAGATTTGCGTCTACAAAACATCTCTTCCGTAGGAATTTGTTAATCGAGAAGAGAGGAAATCGCCGAAGCGGAGATCAACCATATTCTCAGGGACAGAGAATGATGCCTCTTTGACACCTCAGTGATAGCTGAATTCTGCACTGGATCCGAGCATCGCCTTCTACGTACGAAGATTCGACTCAGCTAAAAGCTGAAAAAAGCATCTGCCATCGTCCACGAAAAACAAGACAGTCGTGCAGGTACATGAAGACCTGATCGAGATTACAAGTTGCTCGTCGAAGGACTTAAACTTGCTATGCACTAGTTGACGATTAACTCAACTGCAACATAAATATACAGCTTTTTCAACGTTTCCCTTACCATACCCATTGCAAAATGATTTCGAGAAGGCGACACAATATCTCCATAGCTGTTTATTTCCGCACTGCATTGGATAATGAGGTCAACCTATTAGAAAGAGAAGGCATACGCATTGATAAATTCCTATCAAGCCTTCGTTAAGCCGACGATATTGTTATTTTTTGAAGAGGTGCTGAGGAAGCAGAAACGGTGCTCAATGAACTCAACGGAGTCGGAAAAAAATTGGCCTGCACATAAGTAGGACGATGATCCAGTTCATGAAGGAACCGGCCCGTTCTCCCTTGCAGAAAGCACCCTGGACGTCCAATGAACATGGAGAACAACATGAAGGATGAATCAGACAGAAAAAGGAGAGAAACATGGGTCACTTCTGGGCCTCTCAAAGAAACCACCGAACAATGAACGGTCTCAAAACTCCGCGCTCACCTTTTCAGTTCAACAGGCCTCTTAGTGCTGTGTTATGAAATAGAGGTGTGAGCTGGTAGTTCAACCACGTCAAGGAATCTGCACACCATTCACGGAGCACTTGAACGATGTTTTCCGAAATTTAATCGGCACTCGCAACCTGTGGTCGATTGCGCAGCTCAAATTTTCCAAAGCTCTCCCGTTTTTGGGACAAGAAAATGCATATCGATGGTGCAGCGCAGATAAGACGGTCACATAATAAGAGAGGGACAGATGATAGATATGCGAAAAGCAAGAAAGAGTGGATCCCAAGAGAATGCAAACGCCCCCCTTGGACGACCACCTAAACGTTAGTCGGACAAGTTTTTGGTTAACGCAATTATCTGCATTTGCGTACGAAAGCGATTGTAGGACTACGGAATGGGCCTCCAGACGTTAGCATATTCGAAGCAGAACCACAACCATGACAATTACGCAAAAGTAAAACGAATGGATGATTTGTGAAATTACATTAGGTGATTGAATACATTTTTGGATTACACAACGACTTTCAGTAGAATAACGAAGTCAAGTCAATGTTGCTATTCTTACAGATGATTCTGGAACGGATCTGACGACTGCGGAAGGATGGAGGGCTTGTTTAGCAGAGGACGCGGGATCGAACCAGAATATACGTGAATCACAAGATAAAATATAAACTCTCGGCGTTGATCAGTACCTAAGGGATGCGCCATGCATTCAACTTCATTAGGCATCGTTGGAGGTGATTGAATGCATCTAACCTTTACAGTAACTCGCGGTGGCCCACCGATGTATCGAGCCAGTGCTGATATTCTCGTAGACAAGTCTACTACCAATTTGGCGAACCCGGAGGGATGAAATACTTGGTGAACCATGGGCACGTGGATCGATCCCATACATATTGCAAGGCGCCTCCGACCACTGAGCCACACGAGCGCACGTGAATTGCAGAGGCACTTGTAATCAGCACACTGTATGCGCTTGCTTATCTTTTCCTGGCTAGAGTCCAACTCTATAGTTTCCTAGGTTTTTTTCGCTCCGAAAAATGACATGGTTCAGGACACAGACGTGTTGAGATTCAAGAGACCTCGTAAGCTGCACCAGAAGAGAACCAGCGGATGAAAGCTGAAAATTCTTTTAATCACGTCTACGATATTTAATAGGTTTAAATGAGTTTCACATCCTTAAGAGATTAATCGACTTTTAGCGCTCTATTTTTCTACGCATTATCATTCGTAATCTTGATCATTGAGGGAGCACCACAAAATCCTCACTCACTCCCACCCGACGCCAAACCGCCCCTGTTTTGGATCCGTTCTTTAGACGGACACTGAGTGCATCTCATTTTAAGTTCAATGTTCCTTGTTTTCATTCCTTTTCTTTGGTCAAGGAAACAGCCATATATGGACCCTTTCGGCATCATTAATGTTACTTGACATCAAAATGGAACTGTATTGACCTTCCCCTCTGCAGTTTCAATGATTTTTCATTAAAGTTTAATGAAATCGCGATAGGCACATCAAATTTTATAAAAAAAAATTGAGCTTGAAGTGGAAAACCCGCATTTTTGTTAATATGAAGAAAAACTATATTTATTCGTATTACCCGACTCCACACATTGTGGAGATCCCAGCACATCACATATCCGTCAGCAACGAAATTGTTCAAATCTGTTCTTGATTTCGGTGATTTTGCCCTTTTTATAAATGCCGTTGTATGTCGGTTCGGTCGATTTTTCCCAAAATTCTGGTGTAGCCCTACTACAAAGCTCCCAAGCCTTTACCAATCATGTTAGCACCACAATAGTGTGGGCATGCGTATGGAATCGCACCAATCAATTGCACAGCTACGGAACGGCCACTGGGATGTGGTTCAGCCGTCGTCGTTCACCAATGATTGCTGCCATTGCCACCCATTTTTCACCGTTCAGCACCTTCTCATTGCATTTCGTATGGAAAACATTACCATTAAAA